TGTTGTATATTCCTTATTGATCTCCATATTGACAAACCATTTTCTGTTTTGCACGATTTTCTTCCAATAGTAACAGCTATCACCCTTTAGCTTGTAACTCTCCATCTCCATTTTCATATATCGTTCATGTATCCATTTCACCCATAAATTGTCCTTCTTATTCTTGACATCCCACCAGTAATTCTGTATAAACGCTCTGTTCCAGAGTGTCATATTCCTCAGCCCCAGCCCTCCATGTAACGCCCCAAAATATACCCTAAAATTTATTGAGTTAAATATTTAATTAAACAAAATTGTTTTGATTAAAATAAATTATTGTTGGGCTTTGGGCCGAAATAAAATATACATTGATGTCCAATAAACATAATTGGGTTAAATCTCATAAAGATAAATCTAACCTGTTGACTTATTGTGTGATCTTGATTGGGAACCTGAGTACAGACCCAAATTAAGAATAAATGAAGAAATTGTTTGTAACGTGAACTTTGAAATGATTTATTGAAATAAATCATGGAAATAAATAATATGAATTAAATGTGAGAACCTTTTTGAATAAAGGTCAATCAAATCAATTTTGACTCTGTCAAAGCCAACCACCCAAAAATATGATGTCAGAAAAAGTATAACGAATAAATATAAAAATTATATCGTTGGATAGAGTTTAACTGTCCGATCGCAACGGTGCAAACGGATTTCAATTTGGAGAAAGTTGGACCAAAAAGTATACCCCGACTGGGACCAAAATTAGTCCCAATCAGGGAGTAACGTGCTTAATCTCTTTATCGCCGAATGAATAGTGAAATGGGAATCCTACGCAGCAGCAACTCAGCTTCCCATGTCTTCTTCCTCTTCCTCTTGCTATATAAGAAACTCAATTCTTCTCATTTCTTCACCATTCATCTTCAAAATTCTTCCTAAGTGTTCCTAAGAGTGCAAGGAGTGTAGTGGTGCTGTCAATTTGGTGTGAAGTCGCCGGAGCTAGCCACAAACCTCGCCGGAAGTTTCGCCGGAAAATATTCAAAACCTTCATTTACCTTTGAGGTAAGCCCGTTGATATATCTAGTGACTAGAATGTTCGTATAGATCGTTTCTACGTTCATAAACGGTCGTTTGGTTGAGTTTTGTGTTTGATATGCTTAAAGAACCAAGAATCATAAACCATTAAATTGATGTTAAAACTATGAATTAATGATGCCAAAATGATCTATGAACCTTGGAGAACATCTCTATATAGTTTCGTTGAAATTCAAT